CTAATTAAAAAAAAATTAATTTTTTTGCTTAACGTTTTGTTTAAGGAAAAAAAAAAAAAAAAAAAAAAACATCATTAATCGTCGTATTTAAAATAAGTAATAATTATGTTCAATTAAGAAAAAAATTATTATTATTATTATTATTATTACTTTTAAAAAAAATCAATCGATAAATCGACTAAATTATTGATTTTTTTTTTTTTAAATTCGGTTTTCCTAACCCCCCGCCTCCTCCCCCATTAAAAAAAAAAAAAAAAAAAAATTAAGGAAATCAAAGAAAAAAAGAAAAATTTTATTTTCGATCGATTAATTAATTTATTCGTTTTTTTTTTTTTTAATTTTTGATTACGTCACTACTCATGATTTTTTTTTTTTTTTGGTAAAATAACCTTTGACCTTACAGAAAAAAAAAAAATAAATAAGATTGACCGGGGGAAAATATATTTAAAAAAAAAAAATAATAATAATAATAGTTCACTTAAACTTTTTTTTTTTTTTTTTTTTTTTTCACTCACTCACTCATTACGTATGTGTCCGTGCGTGCGTGCGTGCGTGCGTGGTCGTGCGTAATAAAAATTTTTAATAATAATAATAATAATAATAATAATAATTTTCTTAATAATATTTTTCAAAATGTGATAATCAAGTTTCGGAAAAGCGAGTTTTAACCTGAAAATCTCGTTTCGTATTTTTACAACAATAACCACAACAACAAACAAAAAAAATTTCCCGTTACAGAAACAAACCTTTTAAAACGAGAAGCGTTTAGTTTATAAAATAATAATAATAATAATAATAATAATAATAATAATAATAATAATAATAATAAAACTGATTCGTTTTTAAAGCCGGGGAATTTTTTTTTTGTAAAATTTAAAAAAAAAAGCAGAAGAAAGAGAGAAAAATGATTTTTTTTTTATGTAAACAAACAGACGGGATTTAAATTTTTCAAGTACATTACACACACACACACACAAACACATTCACGCACGCACACGCACACGCACTCACTCACGCATAAATATATATATATTTTTGGCAAGAATCAATATTTTAAATGTTTTTATCATCATCATCATCATCATCATTCGATTGTGTTCGATTTAGAATGTATATTATTATTATTATTACTAAACCGGAAAAGAAAATATTTTTTAATAAAAAAAAAAAACGTTGTTGATCATTCCTCGTTATTATTATTATTATTATTATTATTATTATTATTTTCCTGTTTCTATTTTTTTTAATCGTTAAATTTTAACCGTAATATCATCATCATCATCATCATCAGCATTTTCAAAACGTTACAAGAAGAAAAAAAAAAATATATCGTTACGACATATAACTTTGTTTTTGTTTGTTTGTTTGTTTGTTTGTTTGCATTATACCTACGTACAAACGGGAATGAAACAAACAAACGGAAGTCACGAATCGTTACAAACGATGACAATTTATATATTTTTCATATTTAAATTACGTACACGAAATCGATATTGATATCGTCGTTTGACTAAAATTCTTATCACCCGCACGACTACATATAATAATAATAATAATAATAATAATAATAATAATAATAATAATAATAATAATAAAAATGTAACTTTTTTTTGTTTCTTTTCTCTTTTTTTGGAAAAAAATTCCGTTTGATGTGAGTATTATTATTTATTATTATTATTATTATTATTGTTGTTGTTGTTTTTGACGATGTTAAACCGCCGTAATATTTGATTACGTCAACGTGTTTGGGGGACCCGGGGCGTTTTTCAGGTACGACATTTAGGTACTCTCTTTAATTTTATATTTTCAGATAACAAATTGATTTTACAATGAAGAAGGACATTTATAAATTTTTTATCATTTTTTTTACTCTGGCCATATTCGAAATACGGGAAAGTTTATCGATCGATGTGAATGAAGAAGACGAACGACAACAACAACAACAACAACAACCAAAAATTCAAAATGGTTACAGACTTCCGGATAATATTTATCCAGAATATTACAGAGTTGAAATATTAACTAATCTCGCGGATTTATCGAAAAATTACACGTTCGATGGAAGAGTTTGGATTATGGTTAGTTTAATGGAAAAATTTTCCTTTTTTTTTTTTACGATTAGTCATTCTCGCTCGAAGGGGGGAAGGGGGTGATTTTAGACATTATCGAAAAGGTTTCGATAAAATCCTTTTTTTTTTTTGGAAAATACAAAAATATTTTTTTTGTATTTACAGATGAAATGCGTTAAACCGACGGATAAAATAATATTACATTCGAAAAATTTAAATATCGAAAATGATAAAGTATTCGTGTCTCAATTAAATTATCAATTTAAAACCGAAGATTTGAATCCGGGGAGAAACTGTCGTCAGAATTGTGACGACGATTCTCGAACGATAAAAATAACCAATAAATATTATGTTGACGAATATGAAATGTACGTCATTGAAATGGCGGAAAATTTACAATCGAACGCATATTATTCGTTATCGATAACGTACAATGGAGAACTCACGCAGGGTTTGGCCGGATATTACCGAAGCAGTTATAAAGATTTGAAAACGGGAGAAACAAAGTAAGAATTTTTAATTTTTTTCCAATCTCTCGTTCGAATTATTATTATTAAAAATAAAAAAAAAAAATTTTTTTTTTTGGATAGATGGTTGGCAGTAACGCAATTTGAAAGCACCGACGCGAGAAGGGCTTTCCCTTGTTTTGACGAACCCGGTTTCAAAGCAAAATTTCAAGTCAATCTCGGACATTCAAATCGTTATCATTCGATAAGTAACATGAGAATCGTTTCCTCCATTCCCGTGTGAGTTATCATCACAAATTCGAAAAATTCAAATTTCGCGCCAAAACCAAAAAGTAATTAAAAATTTTTTTTTTTTTTTTTGTTATATATATTAGAGATAACTTACCTGGTTGGATTTGGGATCAATATGAAGTCACGGTACCCATGTCCACGTATTTATTAGCATTCGTCGTTTCGGATTTTAGTTATAAAATGTCTCCAAAATCTCCCACGAACGATGTCCTCTTTAGAGTCTGGGCAAGAAGTGATGCTTTGAATCAAGTTGATTATGCATCCCTCGTCGGTCCTCGAGTGAGTTATTTTTTGTACCTGAAAATGTTAACGAAAACATATTATTAAAAAAATAATAATAATAATTGTTTAACTTACAAGGTATTGTCGTATTTCGAAAAATATTTCGATGTCAAATATCCGCTTCCGAAAATGGACATGATAGCGATTCCAGATTTCAATGCTGGCGCCATGGAAAATTGGGGACTTGTGACGTACAGGTAAGTCCTACTACCCTCCCCCCCAATTATAAAACACCCCCAAATTAATTCTGCTTTATGGTTTTTAGGGAGGTAGCCTTATTGTACGACAGTGAAATTTCAACAGCGTCTAGCAGACCTTACGTCGCATCGGTTATAGCACATGAATTAGCACATCAATGGTTTGGTAATCTCGTCACAATGAAATGGTGGACCGACTTATGGTTGAATGAAGGATTTGCCACTTACGTTGCCGCATTGGGAGTTGATTATGTACGTTTATAACGAGTAAAATGATTTACATAAACAATAAATCATAGAATAAAATAATTTATTGCAGTTGCATCCGCAATGGGATTCGTTAGATGAAGAAATCGTCGATATCATGATGAGCGTATTTTCTTTAGATTCGTTAAAATCTTCTCATCCGATTTCCGTACCCATCGGTCATCCGAGAGAAATAGCACAAATATTCGATACGATATCTTATAAAAAAGGTTTGATAAATAAATCGAAATAACCCTTTGTGTGTGATAAAAATTTTGATTTTTAATCCCGTTTAACAACTTTCAGGTTCATTCGTTTTGAGAATGATGAATTTATTTTTGGGAGAAAACACGTTTAGAATCGGAGTCAGTAAATATTTGAAAAAACACGCTTTCGGTAATGCCGAACAAGATGATTTGTGGGAAAGTTTAACTACGGAAGCTCACAGAACGCAAAGTTTACCTTATTTTATGACGGTGAAAAACATTATGGATAGTTGGACTCTACAAACTGGGTATCCTCTCATAACCGTTTCGATAAATTACGATACATGCACGACAATGGTTTATCAGGTAATTATGTAAAAACTAACAAAAAACGAAAAGTTTCAGGAGTTTTTTAAATGAAAATCTATTATACTTTTATAATTACAGAAAAAGTTTTTGAAAGTTAATAATGGAGCGGAAGAAGATGACACTAAATGGTGGGTACCTTTAAGTTACACTTGGGAATCTCAAGGAGATTTTAATAATACTCAACCTAAAGCTTGGATACCGAACACAGAGGATAGCGTGATGATAAACAATCTTTCTTGTTCCGGTTGGGTTATTTTCAATATAAAAATATCAGGTGAGATGATAAACTATCAGGCGAGACTGTAAACTATCAGGTGAGATTCACAACAATAAATAAAATTATAATATTTTTCTTTTTTTTTTTAAATTTAGGTTTATACAGGGTGAAATACGACGAAGAAAATTGGAACAGGCTCGTAAAAGCATTACTAACGAATCACGACAGCATTGCTGTGTTAAACAGAGTTCAACTCATAGAAGATTCTTTGGAATTAGCAAAAACAGGAGATATTTCGTACACGATTCCCTTCAACATATTATGTTATTTAGAAAAAGAAACGGAATATTTACCCTGGAAAACTGCACTTAAAAATTTAGGTTACATAGATAAAATGCTTCGACGATATTCGAGTTATGGACTTTTCAGAGTGAGTTAAAAAATAATTTAATAATTATTATTTAAAAAAAAAAAAATGATAATTTTGTTAAAAATTAAATTTTAGGTATTCATGAAACGTTTATTGAATAATATTTACGAAAATACTAAAAATGTCGAGTACGAAAACATACCGGAAAATTTAAATAAAATTCAACATCAATCGTTGATAGCGGCTTGGGCATGTAAATTTGAAATCGGTAGCTGTAAAGAAAGGGCTTTGGTATATTTTCAAGCATGGATGAAAACAAAATATCCGGATGTGGAAAATCCGTGAGTTTGATATAATATAAAAATTAACTATTAATGAGTAAATTGAAAATCGTGAAAAAATGTCTCTTAAATGTTTTCAGTATTCCGAGAGACTATCGTTCTCACATTTATTGTGCGGCAATTAAATATGGCGGAGAAAATGAATGGAACTTTTTATGGAACAGATATTTAAATTCAAACGTTGGAAATGAAAGAAATTTAATACTTAGCTCGTTAGTTTGCACGAGGGAAATGTGGATATTGAATCGTTACCTTGAATGGTCCCTGGATGAAAGTTCCGGTATAAGAAAGCAAGACAGCACGACGGTATTTGCTGGAATTGCCAGAGGAGATATCGGTTACTATTTGGCCAAATCATTTCTTAATTCTCGAATTGCTGATATTTATGAATTGTAATAATTTTTCTTTTTTTTTTTTCTTTCTTTAAATTGTGTTCATTGATAACTTCATATTGTTGCTTCACCTAAAAAAAATTAATTAATATTAATAAAAAAAATTTATGTTAATTTCAGTTTCGGACCGAAAACGACCAGAATAGGTACTTATGTTAGTGCTCTTGCAAATAGAATAACCACAAACAATGAACTCGAGGAAGTGAGTATTAAAACCTGAATTATTCTCAAGTTAATTTGTATATCACTGTTAAAAATAACTTTTTTTGCATTTCAGTTAACCGAATTCACAGAAAAAAATAAAAAATACCTTCTTCATTCGCAACAAGCCATACAACAAAGTTTGGAAAATGCAAAAATTAATATTCATTGGCAAACAAAATTTTATGATTTACTTACTAGTTATTTAAAAGGTCAAAAAATGTAAATTTAAACAATGCCTCTGCTCCCCCTCCTCATCCCCTATTTTTTTTTTTTTTTGTAATTATAAATTTTGTTCAAAAAATTGAAAAAAAAAAAAAAAAAACAATAGTGTGTAATAATGATGCAGTAAAAGTACTATGAAAATTTTTTATAAAGAGATAAGAAAGTATTAAAACGATAAAAATGTAAAGTTTAAATATTAAAATTATTTTATCATAAACTTAAAACAAAAAAAAAAAAAAAAAAATGGAAATGCTATATTTTAAAAAGTGTATAAATTTAATTTTACTTATTTACATATTAAAATTATAATAAAAATTTTTTGTACTTAATGTTTTTATCTATTAGTTTTTTATTTTATTTATAATGATTTAGTACCGTAAATAAAGATTTTAATATTAATTCATTTTTTTTTTTTTTTTTTTACCTAACACAACTCATGTTAATAAAACTTTGGAAATATAATAGAAAAATTCAATTGAATTATAACGTCAAACCTTTTTTTTTTTTATTGAAATTCTCCAAATTAGAAACTTGACGAAACTTGCAATCAAATTATTTAGTTAAATTATTAGTAAATAGTTTTTTTTTGTAATTTACCTTAAACAAAAAAATCGTCATTAAATTATTCTTTTAATTCTAAAGTTTTCACATTTTCAAAAATTGAAATGATACTGATGTCGGTTTTTTGAGGTTGGCACGACTTTTTTACAAATTCACGTATCAATTATGTTGGCCAAACCGAAGAGTTTCAAAATTTTGTTTAATAAACAAAATGGTGGAAACCGACACTGAAGAAATTCTCGATGAGAAAGAAACGGATAATCCAGGATTGGCATGTGCCTTAGAATATTTTGCCGAATATGATGAAGTATTAAAGTTAATTGGTAATTTATCTAATATTTATAACGATAGCAAAGATGTAGAAATAAATATCGAAAAGTTTAATTTCATACTGGATAAATATCAGGAACAACCACATTTACTCGATCCTAATTTGGATAAAATGTTAAATGAATTAATTATTATTATTAAAGAAAAAAATAATCCTGAGAATTTAAAAGCTTTAGCTTTTCGATACATAAAACATATTATGAAAGTTAGAGGGTTTAAAGTTGTTGTTCGTCATCTTCCACATGAGGTAAGAAAATTAATGTGTGGGTGGACACAGTTAAATAATTTTTTTCATGGTTTATGAATTTTCCTATTTGGTCGATATTACTCATAAATAATCAATATCCAAACGTTGTAAATTTTTTTAAATATTTGTAGGTAACAGATTTGGAACCTGTTTTGCAACTCCTTGAAAATCAAAATAAAGAATGTATATCACACTGGGAAGCAAGTTATGTTCTTTTACTTTGGATGTCAATAATTGTTAAAATACCATTTCATATGTCTAGGTTAGACAGTTTTCAAAATGAAGGAGAAACACAAAAAACAGTAATTGAAAGACTACTTTTTATTTGTAAAAATTATATACTTGCCAGTTCTTATTTTATGAATCCTGCCGCTTTTCTTACTTCTCACTACATAACTAGATCTGATATTAAGGATAAACATTTGGAAAATTTTTTAGATTGGATTTTCGAGGTACAAAACGTTTGGAAATGTTTTTAAGAAATGCCAAATGTTATATTTTCATTAAAAATTAAATATTTTAATTTTTTTTTTAGAAAGTTCAATTTGAATCTGGAGCAGATTTAATTATTCAGAGAAATTGTTTAAATTCATTAGTTACGTTAGCAGCGATATTAAAACATGGAAAACGAGAAGATTTATTGCCACATGCACCTGCCATGTTGCAAAAAATGCTCAAGTGCGATTATAAAGAAAGTAATAATTCTCTTCTTAGAAAATATGCTATGAAAGTTTATCAGAGAATCGGTTTAACATTTCTTAAACCCAAACTTGCGTCCTGGAGATATCAAAGAGGCAATAGATTTTTAGCAGATAATTTGAAGCAAGATCGAGTTCAGCCTACTACTGTTGGGGGTCATGGAGAAGATGTCGAAGGAGCAATAATTAATGATAATGAGGATTTTGATGTACCAGAAGAAGTCGAGGAAGTGATAGAACAATTAATGCAAGGATTAAAAGATTCTGACACAGCGATTAGATGGTCTGCTGCTAAAGGTTTGGGTAGAGTCACGGGTCGTTTGCCTAAAGAATTAGGTGATGAAGTAGTGGGAACTGTTTTAGAATTATTAAATCCAAGGGAATCGGACAGAGCGTGGCACGGAGGGTGTTTGACATTGGCAGAACTGGGAAGAAGAGGGCTCTTGTTGCCGCAAAGACTACCAGTTGTGGTTCCTTTACTTTTAGACGCTTTAATTTACGAAGATTCAAGAGGATACTATTCGATTGGAGATCACGTTCGAGATGCTGCTTGTTACGTGGCTTGGTCTTTTGCGAGAGCGTACGACGCACACATCATCAAACCGTTTGTCAATCCGATCGCTAACGGCCTTCTCGCAGTGACTTTATTCGATCGGGAAATTAAATGCAGAAGAGCAGCATCGGCTGCTTTTCAAGAAAACGTTGGAAGACAGGGTACTTTTCCACACGGTATTGAAATAGTAACGACGGCCGATTATTTTTCCGTAGGAATAAGGCAAAATTCTTTCCTTAAAATTAGCGTTTTTGTTGCAAAATTCGAAGACTACACTCTACCTCTCATCAATCATTTAGTAGAAAAAAAAGTTGATCATTGGGATGTTGCTATAAGAGAACTAACCGCTTCCGCTCTTCATAATTTAACCCCTCTCGTCCCCGATTACCTCGCCGAAGCAATTTTACCCATATTACTTGCAAAAACGGAATTGTTGAATTTAAATGGCCGACACGGATCGATAATTTCCATCGCAGAAATCGTTCATGCTTTAAGTTTATTGAAAAAAAGTATCGATTCCGAAAATTTAGAAAAAATAAAAAATCTCATATACCTTTATAAGGAAAAGCGATATTTTTCAATTGTCGGTGGAGAAATAATACGCCAAGGATTTTGTACGCTGATTGAAAAATGTGCTCAATCTCGCTTGCCCTTTCACCAGTTGCCTGTTATCGACGAACTACAATCACTGATGGACGAATGTTTGATTAGTGAAGTGCCTATAGTTAGAGCAAAGGCAGGAGGAGCTTTACCTGCCTTCTTCGAAGAATACTATCAGAAAAACGTAGGCGGGGTAAAGATTGTATTACAAGAAAAGTGCAATAAACTTGTCAACAACTACATAAACGAACTTTCGTGTTTGAATCAAACGGCTCGGTTGGGTTATGCCATGGCAATAGGAAATCTACCCAAATTTATGATCAAAGGAAAAGTAGACGAACTCGTGTCGGCGTTGCTCGAGAGTTTAAAAATCACGGAACCGACTTTGAAATGGGCCGAAAGCAGAAGGGATAGCATAAAAGCTTTGGTGTCGTTGATTTCGACGATCGGTTTGGAAATGCTTTACACGGAATCGGAAGAAAAGAAAAAAGACGTGATTTCGAACGGCGCGGAAACTTCCGTCGCGACCACGTTCGCAAGCAAAACCATGATACTACCTCGTTTGAGCACCGAATTCCGTCAGTTGGAATCCATTTATCAAAACCTTCTCGTTTGTTTGGGGGAATACACTCAAGACACGAGAGGAGACATCGGAGCTTGGGTTCGAGAATCCGCAATGTCGGCTTTAGAAAAAATGATTATCATGACGGCCAAATGGAACAGCAAATTATTAAACGAGTCTTTGATGGCGAGCATAGTCGGTGGTATAGCACAGCAAGCGGTCGAAAGAATCGACAGGACGAGATGTTTGGCCGGTAAATTATTCGGTTCGATATTATACCACAAGTAAGTACGTCGGATGCGTAATTTTAATGGATTGAAAAGAAATTTCACGTTTTATCACTTCACTTTCCAGAGATCCGGTGATACCGCACATACCGTACAGAGAAGAATTATTGAAAATATTTCCGTTCGAAACGTGCGGAAACGGTGCCTTGTGGAGAGCGGAAAACGAATCATTTCCCAGATTCGTTCGAATGCTGTCGTTTCCCTGCTACACGCACAACATAATGGAAGGTTTAATTTTAAGTATAGGAGGGCTCACGGAACGCTTGGTACGTAATCCCGACGGATATAAAAAAAAAAAAAAAAAAAAAATTAATTAATTTACGATTGCGTGGGGTAACACATTCGATCGTTTGTTTTTTTCAGGTCAAACATTCGAGCACGTCACTGTTTACATATTTGAAATCCATCGAAGATCGTAAAGAATTAGATAGAATATTAAATTCAATAATAGACATATTCAACACTTACCTTTACAACATACGAGTCATACTACCCCTTTTCATATTCTTGGATCGTCTTTTAGGATCGGGAGTCATAAGGGAAGTGCTGGAAGACAACAAATCAAAATTTGCCGAAGAATTATACAGGTTGACGAAATTAGAAATAGCTAGAATAAGAGATTACAAGAAATTAGTCAACAGCATGGATTTGTTTTGTCAATTGGTTCAGGTAAAAAAAAATTTTTTTTTTTTTTTTTCATTATACTCGATCCAATCAATCAATCAACGATTTTAACATTTGAATTTTTAGGTCAAGGGATGGGTGTCGACGAGAGCTTTAAGTCAAATGTCGGTATTCTTATGTCACAAATTGAAGGCGGTGAGAAAAAGCGCATCGAGTAAATTATACGAATGTTTGCTCTTGTACGGTGACTGCACGTCGATTCCCGAAGAAAATTTAGAAGAAGTCATGACGATATTGAGCGACACGAATTGGGAAAACGAACAAAACGAAGTCCGACCCATACGTAATAAATTGTGCGAACTCATGAACGTACGAATTCCCCGAGTGTTGGATAAAACGACGACAGCAACACCCACGACAGCACCAACACCAACAACAACAACGGAACACTAATAATAATAATATTATTTATTTAAGTTTGTATTTAACAAATAATAATAATAATAACACAAAGAAATAAATGCTCGCAAAAAAATCATTGCAATTTTTTTTAAATATAATAATAATTATTTTTATATATTTTATAATAAATAAATAAATAAATAAATAAATAAACGTCCGTAATATAAAAAAATAAATGAGGAAAAATGGAAAAGGATTATTATTATTATTATTATTATATTGACAAATAGAAGACAAAAGGGAATTTTTTTTTTTTTTTAATAAAAAATTATATATATTTATGTACATAAAATGTTATATTAAATAAAATTTTTATTTATTTATTTTTTTCCTCATTTATATTAAAAGATTTATTCACAAAGCTAAAATGATGGACAAACGAATCATAATGTTTATCATATATATATATATATACGATATAGTATCTGTCAGTCGTGAGAAGAAAGAATACTTTTATTTTGTGACGTCATTAATACGTCATAACGTCATCCGTTCGTTTATATATATATATATATATCGTTGACTTTATTTATTTATTTATTTTTTTATATTTTAAATAATAATAATAATAATGATAAAGGCACTAGCAGTCTCACATAATTTGGTTATTTGAATTTTAAAAAAAAAAATTATTATTATTATTATTATCGTTGATTTTAATTATTATTTAACTTTTCTTTCTCGTTACGTCATTTCCCTGCATACTTTTGTAGTTGATTAAATCGATTAATTTATTATTAAACGACGGACATTTTATTTATTTATTTAATTTTTAACCTTTTTGTATTATTTATTAATAATAATAATAATAATAATAAAAACCAATACTTATTTGCCATCGTATAATTTTTCTCTTTCTTGCTAATAATAATATTAATTTTATTTTTTCCACGCTTTTCTGTCATCTTTTATTATTATTATCGTACACTACTACTACTACTACTGTTATTATAACCATCATCATCATCATCATCATCACTTCAGTAGGTTTTAATTGCACTAGAGAGAGAGAGAGAGAGAGAGAGAGAGAGAGAGAGAGAGGAAAAAGTGAGATTTGCCATCTTTTTTTACTACTGACACGTTTTTTTTTAATTAATTATTATATATAAAAATTTATTATTATTATTATTTTTTAATTTACCCAAACCAATCAGAAATTAATGATAATGATGATAATAATAATAATAATTAATTCTTTCTCGTAACGAACGTGTTTCCGCATACGAATGAATCCGACACGTTCGTTTCCCGTCGTCTCCCTTCTCCCAGGTTCCAGGTTTCAGGATGTGATAAATCGTTTTTTTTTTTAAATTTTACCATCGTTTACATTTTATTCGTCCGTTCCGCCCCGCCCCTCCCTCTCCCTCCCACCTTCCTTCTCTTATCATTCATTGATACAAAAATATATATGAATACATATCGTGTGTAAAGGCACAAAATAATTACAAAACCTTTTCCCACTTCCTTCCCTCCCCCCCTCTCTCCCCTCCCATCATTTACACCCTTAAACTGATTAATTAAATTATTTATCGTACGCATCGATATATCGATCGATCGATCGATCCATCGATTTAAAAAACAAAAAAAATTCATCCCCTTAATCATAATTTCCTTCCCCCCCCAAACAAAAAAAAAAAGAAAAAAAAATATACGACGTTAGTAGTTGTAATAATAATAATAATAATAATAATAATAATAATAAGGCATTTCAGGTCGTTATCTCTCTCTCTCTCTTTCTCTCTTTTCTCTTTTTTTTTTTTTTTTTACGGCACCGCAATTATAATTACAGGTAAACACACAAAACGTCGATATTAAAATTAATGACTAGAACTCGTTTTAACGAATTGAAAGTAAATAATAATAATAATAATAATAATAATGATGATGATGATGATGATGATGACGATGATGGTGGTAGCGGTGGTGATGGTAATAAAAACGCGCACACGAGTGGAAATTTTTTTATTTTATTTTATTTTATTTTTAATGGCGACCAAGCAGAAAGAAACGCAAAAAATTGTGATTTTACACGCACGTGCACGCGAACGCACGTATACGCACCGCGTATGTTTTACGACACGTGAAAATAATAATAATAATAAATAAATAACGATAAATAAGCAAGCGGATTGTTTCAAAAATTGACAATAATAATAATAATAATAACAACAACAACAACAATAATGTTTAATGTTAAACGCAATTTAATTCATTTTAATAATAATCAATCAATCAATCAATCAATGAATTAATAAATCAATAAATAAATAAAAAAAATGAATGAATGAATGAATGATTAAAAATGAATTTTAAACAACACTTTGTTTTTAAATAATAATAATTAAAAATTTATTTATTAAATTATTATTTATAGTTATCATTATTATCATTTTCCGATCATTGTTAATATTATTATTATTATTATTATTATTATTATTATTATTATTATTATTATTATTACGAATTGTTAATTTTTTCGTTCACTTCGTCCTCGTATTCGCCATTTTTTAATTATTATTATTATTATTTTTTCGATAATTTTTTCCCATTTCCATTTGCCATTGAACCTTTTCTAGATGATTTTGATTTTCCTTCGGAATCTGAGGTTTTGGTCGTTTCTTTTAATTTTCCTTTTGACGTCACGTCTTCATCTCCCGTTGATGATGATGATTTACCATCTTTTTTACTACCTTTTCCACCTTTTTTCTTGCCACCTTCTCTTCCCGTCATTTTTTAATTTTTTATAATTTTAAAATTTTTAAACCTTTTTTTTTTTGTTTTTTTTTTTTTTTTTTTTTTTGTGCGTGTGTTTTTCAGAATTTTAAACAACCATATTTTATATAAACAAACAAATTCCTTATTATTATTATTATTATTCTTTTTTCCGTTTTTCTTTTTTTTTATCGTTCATCATCTTTTATTTAATCGATACGATTATGGAATATTTCGAACGTCACTGTCAAAGGAAAGTAATTTAAAGAAACAAAACGAAATTTTTTCCTGGTTGTTGTTGTTGTTGTCGTCATTTTCAATTAAATTTCATATTTTAAAATGATGATAATATATTAGTATAGCAATACCCGAGGCAATAGCAGTAGTAGTAGTAGTAGTAGTATTAATAATAATAATAATGATGATGATGATAATGACAACGATGGCCGATTTAAAAATTGTGATTATTGTGAGAAAAAAAAAAAATTCCTTTGCGACATCAAAAACAAACAAAAAAAAAAAAAAAAAGGCGAGTCAAAGGCACTGGAATTCAACGACGAACCATTGATATTTTCCTTTTACTATTATTATTATTATTATTATTATTTTCCTTTTTTAAACGTTAAGAAAATGTGCGTGACACACCGTTCCCCCTCCCCCAACAGTAAAACCTTTTCTTACAAAGTTTTCTTCCTTTTTTTTTTAAATGATACCGAATTACATAAAACAAACAAACAAACAAGGAAACAAACGAACGAACGAACGAAAAGAGAAGAAAAGAAAAGAAAAGAAAAGAAAAGAAAAGAAAAGAAAAAGAAGAGAAGAAAAGAGAAGAAGAAGAAGGACGAAAATTTTTCTTTTTTTTTTTTTGTTAAATTCTGATGATTTGTGTTTCTCTATCTTTTAACCACTTTCATCTTTATCATCATCTCCTCCTTCTTTTCCTCCTCCTCCTCTTTCTCTTCCTTTTCTCCTTCATTTTATATTATTTAAATTTTAGTAAACGAAAAAAAAAATTAATTAATTAATAATAAAAAATTTTAAACCTTTTCTTCTTCTTTTCTTTATTATTATTATTATTTAAAGCTTTGTTTTTTTTTTTTTTTTAAATTTATTATTATTATTATTATTATTATTTATTCATTTATTTTTTTAAAGTTAATAACTATTAATGATGATGATGATGTTGACAATGATGGGATGTGGGTGGGGTGTGTTTGCGTCTGGTGTGTGTGTGTATGTGTGTGAGTGTGTGTACAATAATGGTCACATTTGTAATCGTACGTTCGAATTAAATCGACTAATTTTATTACCAACACGTTTCTCCTTCCTTTTTTTCCCATCTCTTCTTCTTATCCACGGGTAACTCCTTTGAAAACATGACGGCGGCGGTTCATCGCCGAATCTGGCCTGATGAAAAAAAAAACAAAAAAAAAACAAACGAAAATATAAATATGGTGACGTCCTTTGAATCGTGTAAAATAACATAAA